GAATAGTAACCATTATGGATTAGGGGACAACAAACAGAGTTTCCTAGTAAGCGGTGCTGCAAAACAGCCTATCAAGAAAAACAAGTTAAACTTTACCATGCCAAAAACGTGTTGTGTTCCTTGTTGTCACACAAATAAAGCAAAAAATCCAGAACTTGAATTTTATTGTTTTCCAGCAAAAGAATATTTACGGAGAAAGTGGATAAATGCTATTCACCGAGTGAATGAGGATGATAATTCCGGTAACGTAAACCACAACAAAATTTGGTCTCCTAAATCAAAGTCAACCTATGTCTGTTCCTTGCACTTTATATCTGGTAAATAAATAAGTTTTATTTATTAATTAATTTGAAGATATTCTATTTGTTTAAGAATAATTTTAAATGTATGCAACAATTATTTTCCTACTTTTAGGGAAAAAATAACATTTCGAGAAACACCCAGACGCTATACCTTCTAAGTTTCCGTGGAAAAATCAAAAATCTCTGTCAAAAAAAAAATCACCTAGTCACATAATGATCTCATCACTTATTCAATCAAATTCACCTTGTACATCTGGTAACATACAAAGTAATAAAAATAAGAAGGACATCAGGTTTTTATTGATATATAGTTTTACAATTTTATGAGTTTTGCCATAGTTTTAAAATAAAATGACAAACACTCAATAGATTTTAATATAGATATAAATACTCAAAGAAAGATTTATAAGATATAAGATATTTGAATTGTATTTATCATTTTAGCTAAAAGGCAATTGATTAACGATTTTAAATCTGAGGAAAAAGAAATATCAAGTGATTTATATAATTTTAATGTTGGAGTTGGTTGTTCTGTTACTAATGCAGCAATTAAGCCTGTTACTGGCAGTGTGATTTTGCAATTACCTGTGGCTTTGCAATCTTTTTCATCACAACCAAATTTTTCTTTACAATCACCTGTAACGACTTCAGAAAGAGAGGAACTTTATTTTGAAATAAATGAACTAAAAAATGAAAGGGATTGGTTAAAAATAAAAAATATTGAATTGAAATTAACTGTATTCCCATTTTCTTTAGAAGCCTTGAAGCAAAATCCTTTATTTTGCATGATGCTGACTGGATTAAATTATAAAGTGTTAGAAAAGATGTTAGTTTATATATGTGAAAACACATTTGAGTTTGGAAAACCAACAAAACTTAGCAAACCTGATCAGGTTATTATTACCATAATCAAGTTAAAGCAAAATTTAAATTTTGATTTGATTGCATACCTTTCTAATGTTAGCAAAACAACCATAATTGAATATTTTTATAAATGGCTTGATACAATGTATTCGAAACTCAACTTTCTCATAAAAATGCAAGATCGAGATAACATATACGATACAATTCCTGGTGTTTTTAAAGCAAAATTTCCACGTTTAACATCTATAATTGATTGTTTTGAGACGTTTGTTGAAGCACCATCTTCTCTTTTAGCAAGGGCTCAGTTTTACAGTCAATACAAAAAGCATTGCACAATCAAAGTATTAATTTCCTGTACTCCTACAGGTGCTATAAATTTTTTGTCAAAGTGTTATGGAGGTAGAGCTTCTGACTTACAAATTGCACGTGAATCTGGATTTGTAAATAAACACATGCCAGGAGACCAAATCTTAGCAGATCGTGGATTCACTCTTCAAGATGACTTTGCTGCTGGGAGTTCTGCTGAGTTGTTAATTCCGGCCTTTACACGGGGTAAAAATCAATCAATATATATTTATATATGTATATTCAATCTACTTTTTGAATTAAGATGACTGCTTTTATAAAAATAGTTTTATATTTTTTAAGCTTAACAAATTATTTTTTAATTTTTTTAATATTTAGTAAGTTTTAATATTAAAAAGTTTTGTTATTCCAATTTTTAAACTTTTCCTTGTTATCCTAAAAGTAAAACTATTTAGTCAGCGGAAGAAATCCACAAACAAATTCCACTACAATCTGGTTGAATCCCAGCCATGGAAGAGGAGGGGTGTGTTTGAGTTAAATAATTTCTAAACTCTAAACTTGGATTGTAAAAAATTGCGATGGTTGAAGCTTGAAAACGTAACCCAAAAAGTAAGACACCCTACTCCAATTATGAGTTCATTTAATATTTTCTTTTACTATCTTATACTCAATTTAAATTCATCGGCTGGTTTCAAATTTTTTATTGCTTAAAATTTATGACCATATAAAATTTTTACAATCTCATTTTGGGGTGTGTGGAAACTTCTCATAGTCATAACTTTTACACGAAAATATAAGAAAAAATTTTTTTTAAACCGGTCGATGAATTTATATTCTTGTTGGATATAAATATGAATATACTAAGGTTTAGAGTTTAGAACTTCCTTGAAAATTACTTAACTTCAAGAAATCCTGTATCCGCCCCCGAAGTTAACATTTTTACGGACACTTGTGATTTGAATTAGTAGATCTGGACACAATACAACCTTACGCTTCACACAATAATCATGCATGTTTTGGTTTCCTTATATTTGGTTGTTTACAAATTATAACTATAATTCTAACAATAAAAATGTTGTGACTGATCATTGGAGCAGCTCTGATGCTGGAGCTACCTGGAGTTGGTGTTTTTACATGGAGACGAGCCGTAGATAGAGCTAAAATATTTATTAAAGGAGCCAACTCCGGAGAGGGTCTTTCAGTACATATTTTTGGCTTCAACACCGTTTACAATAAACATAAGTGTTTTTCTTGAAAGGGATATCTAATGAAAGTAAATATTATTTTGTGAAAAAATTTATTCAAAAAATTATGGCCGCTTCAGTCGCTAAAATTTTTAATGATATTCTAATAACATTTCTTCGTGCGCTTTATTAAAAAAAAACAAACAAGTAATTTATATATGGTATATTTTGTTTTACAATGTTTGATATTATATATAGCAACTCTTACAAGTTAGTGTAGAGGGGCTATTTTCTGTACTAAAATTATATTGAGCGATCTATGTTCCTCACTCAAACCTGATATTTTTGATAACATATTATTTTTACGGATGAGTCCATTTAAGAAACCATTTATCAAATGTCTTATATATTACCAAAGGTATCTGTAATAAAAACAATTTTTTTAAAATAACTTTAATTTTTTTTCTTGGAGTCGCTCTGGAGCGGGAAACTGTTATCGTGCCTGAGGCAACTGTTAGACTTTGAACTAAGCTATAAAAATAGTCAATGTTTCTAATTACCATTGATTTCTTATACGTTGTTTTTAAGTTTTTGCACCGTCGCTAAAAATTTGATTTTTTTCGTTCATCAATTGTATACTAAAGATACTTTTTCTTAATCAAATAATTTTATATGTTATATATTGCTAAAAAACTTATCTAAAAAAAACCAAGAATTAAATGTCAGTAAAATTATAACATTAACAAGAAATATTTTGAGGTTAAATATTTACTGCAAGTTTAAATATTTATTGCAAAATAAAAAAACATTGCAATAACTTTGACGAGAAGTAGGGAAAAGGAAAAAGACAATGTTAAAATAAGAACATTAAGTTTCACAAATTTTTTATTGGTTCTTATAAATAAAAGCTAATAAAATTTAAAATGGTATCATTGTTTTTTTTTATTTAAGATTGCACATTGTTTGCAGTACCACGTTTTATCTTTTGGCAGTCGCTTTAATCCAATACAAATCGGATGATACCAGTTGTCACATCTATCGCAACCCACCATATTATCTACTTCACCAGGAAACTCACAATTTTTTATACAATATATAAACTTTTCTTGAGGATAAATTTCTTCAGGGTTAGAGTTTTCACAAGATGATGATGTAGACCCTTCTAAATTCCTGGTGATAAATTCTGGTAAAACAAATTTTTTCCAAAACAAATCGCATCGTTCATACATATTATAAAGGAAAAAATCATCCTTTTCAATATTAACAATGACACATTCAGATGGTGTCCATACCACAAAATGACAAAACAATGCTTCAGTGCACATAATTTCGTGTTGTACTTGAAAGTAATAGTTGTGGCTTTTTCTAAGAAAGTAACCATCTTGTTCTTTTCCAACATAAAACATACCACTTTCAATTTCTTGTTGAAGAGACTTATCTCGTAGGGCATAAGGACACTTTACCTCAAGTACACCATAACCACAGCAAGAACAAAAGACTACACCATCAGGCGAAGCTCCGTACCATGGCTTATTTTTGAATACACTTAGCCCTATAGACTCAACATGAAAATCGTCATGAATGGGGATGCTGTCATTCAGTGCCTTCTCTCGACATGAGTTTCCGGAGCAGATATTTTTGTAAAACTCTATAGCATCTTTTTCATGATTTTTTCCCCACATTAAAGCTTGAGCTTTAATTACACTTTTATTTATTTGGCAAATTTTTCTCACTAAATTCATGTTTGAGCTATCAAATGATGCATGGTATACTTCACCAATTACAGATCCAGTAATTCTTCCTGCTCGTTGGCATAGCCATGACAACGAATAATGTTGTGTTCTTGTTGCCTCCTCAATGTAAACAACATCTGCATCACTAAGGGCCAACTGGCTGACTAACAATTCATGATTTTCATCAAGTAATAAACTGGTGTCTGCACCATACAAATGTCTTAGAGATGGTGGTAGTATCTGTAGCTTTTTTACTTTGCAAAAAATTTTTTTGCTGAATTGACCAAAAAGACTCAAGCCAACACTTTTAGGTTGCACAGAATTAACTTCTTCTAAAAAATTCATTTTAGAATCGTATGTTGTTGAAACATTGTTATATACCGTTTCCGATGAAACTTTGATTAGCTTTTGTTTGGCATCATCTGAAAAAATGTTGATTTTGGAAACAGGGCAACCAGTAATATTTCTGACAAATAATTGATTCCACATACAGGGTAACTCAGTTGGAGTGGATGATGTTAAACCAATTCGCACTGCAGCTTCAATCTTATATAATACAGCCCCAACATGAGAGCATGTTTCACTAAGACTTAAAACGAAATATAAGTAACTATTAAATCAAATCTACTAAAACTATATAGTTGATTCTCAAAATTTTAAATGAAAGAAGTTTACACCAACATTAATATAAAGTATATTCACCATAACTATCACATTCTTAATAATAAGTATGTGTATTACTTACCCAGCCATACAATTGCAATGACCTGCCAGAACAGTCCCATCTGATTTTAGAGCTACCCATGGCTTGTGACATTTATCAGTAGTCCGGTAAGATGGCCTCACATCAGCACACATAATACATACACCACTATCCAATTTAAAGTGAACAATTTTTTGAACCCAGCCTGATCTAAAAAAATTCCAGGCATCAAGTGACTTAAAGTTTTCCATTGCCTCTGGTGAGTAAATGCCTAAAATTTTAAAAGTGAAAACTAAATAAAATTTTATGAAATCTCAAACATTTATTTAACTTAATAAATTATTTGTTGCAGTAAGACTTACGTGGAGTCTTGATGAGGTAGTGATATAAATGGTGATAACTCAGTGGTGGCCAATCGTTTGGGTTGTCAATCCACTTGTCTGCAGGAAATTTGTAAGGGCATTGATTTAAATCTAACAAGATAGAAATATATCAATTTACTCAAGTAACCAAACATGGTTTACATAATGCCAAATGTTTTAGCATTTTCATTTAAAGATTTTATATACTAAGTTACATTTAAAATAACTTAAAAATGATTAAAGTAAATCAAATAAAATTATAAACGCACTTTACTAAAGTGCGTTTATAATTTTATTTAATTTACTTTAATCATTTTTAAGTTATTTTAAATGTAACATAGTATATAAAATCTTAAAGTCCTAAAGTCTTTAGAACTTATACTTTATAACTTTTTTATACAATTTATATTTAAATTACCTTTTACTAAAAAAAAATAAAATAACACGAATAGATATAGTAAAAATATAAGTTATAATAAAATTTTTTATTAAGGATTTGACAAAAACGTATTAAAAGGTCTATATTGTAAGTTATATTATAACTAGAGATTAGATACAAACACCTACCAAGTAATGCTAATTTTTCATCGTATCTTTCTTTTGATATCGCATCCAGATTTTCTAAATACTCATATACCGATGCCATAATAATAAATATAAAAGAATAACTGAAAAATTGTGATAACTGTTAAGAATCGTTGCGTTTGTTTTATTTGTTTTCCCCTATTTCATAATGGCAATAAATGATCACGTGACTTTCCAACTTGGTCCATTGTTTGTTAGCGAAAATTTTTCCACTTTAAAAACACTGTATTGAAGGGGTTTCTATCACATTTTAGTAATATTTTTGATTTGAAAATATTAGTACACGTAACTATCTAAAGCCATACAATTTTGTAGAGTCCAACACTTCGCTGATGACACAAATCTGCTCTATTTTAATGTCAATCAATAAAATTAATAAATATGTTACCTATGATCTAAAACATGTCTGCAAGTTGTTAAATGCTATTCATAATGATAAAACACATTTTCCCTGAAATGTGCTAGCTTTCTTGAAATAAAGATTGATGAAAATTGACCTGGAATGATTATAATAATCATCTAATAATAAAACTTAAAAAATTTAATGCAATCCTGTCTAACCTTAGACATCTTGTAAACAGAAAAATCTACGACTTTGCCTTATTAACTTCACATCTCGCTTATGGCTGTTCTATCCCAAAACGTTTATCTGTTATGCAGAAAAAAGCTCACAAATACTTATTTTTTTCCACTTAAAACTCCCACACCTTTTTTGACTGCTATTATTGACTGGAATTTCTTACAAAGTAAACTAAAATCTCTTCGTTGCTATAAATGAAATTATTTTTTAAAATTCACTTACATAAAAAGCCAAGAAAAATACAAGTGAGCAAGACTAGAAAGATATAAATATAATTTATATTTATATTTACTAGAGAATAATAAATTAAATTGTTATGAGTGATTTGGACTGTAACTTATGTTAAGTAGCTTATTATTACGTACATCACAATTTAAACGAGTTGTAATTGTAGGTTAGTGCTAGATAATGTCGTTCAAAAGTACATTTCCGATTTTACTAAAATCGCAGACCTGGAAAAATGTTTACGCATACGTAATTTCCATGTAATTTTAAAACGATATTAAAATTTAAATTCACGTGCGCCAATGTTTAGTGCGCCATTTAATGTCGTTCAAAAGAACATTTTTGTTTTAAAATTGTACTATTTATGATATTACTTTTCTTTATGTTTATTTTCTTTAACAGTTAAGTTTAGTTTATTTAGTATATTTTGCAAGTATTAGTAAGGCTGGGTTTAGCTTTAAGAGCTTGTTTGTTTTTGTTAGAAAATTCGATAAAATAGTACTATCTTACATATTACTAATCATTAAAATATTAATACTAAAAAATGATATTATTTATTAATATTAATAAGCAGTATTATTACTTTTAACTCTAGCTGTGAATCAATATGTCATCATCTGGTAAGAAATTATAAATCTTTTGTTCTATTTTTCAATCAATCATGTTAAGATTAACAAATATTTATTTGACAAAAACAAATGTTTGTATAAAATAAATAAAGGCATAAAACTTATGATAACTCTCAGTATATTAGATATGTAAACTATTTTATGTGATAGTAATGAATAATAATAAGTTCAGTGATAATAAGAGCAGTAATAATGGTAACAATAACGCTAAAAATAATCAAAAAACAATACTAATATAACAATGATATTTATAGCGATAACAAAAACGTGAACAAAAACAATAGCAATACTAATTAAGCAAAAGACAATAACTACATAACTTAAGAAGTACTACAGATAAGATAAAGATAACATGACACATCTTTTGAATCAGTTATTGAAGCAAATTAAATTTTGATTTGTTTTTAGAAGAAGAACAAACTGGATCTTGTAGATCAAGAGCAAGTAAAGCATTTAATTTGTAATATTTTTACATGTTAGAAAGAGTAGCCTCAGACAAGGTGTATTTTTTTAAATTAAAAAATATATATCATTTATGTTATTTAATTATATTATTATACTATTTGTTTTTAGAAAAAGAACGGCATTTAAAGTCAAGTAAATCAAAAAAAAGTATAAAATTTAAATTTGGAGTATTTAAAAGAGTTATATTTGTTATACAATAGTATTGTAAAGTAATATATTATTAATTGTTGTTGCTAATACTATATTATTTAGAAGTTTTTTAATGTTTTTTTATGTATCATTAGTTTATAGTAACAGTTGCCTTAGGCAAAGTGTATTTTTTCTAATTGTTACTTATTTAGTTATATATATGTATACATTTATCATGTTATTTAATTGTATTGTTAAAATTGTTTTAAGAAGTAGAACAAAATATATTTACATTTTTTTTTTTTTTGATTATTATTTTATTGAATTATTAAACAGTGTTAGATGTAATAATTAGGTTTTTAAATTTCATTTATCCAATTGTAGGTGGAGAAAAAATGTTGGAAAAATTAAGTGAGTTTTTTTAATGTCTTCTTTTTTTTGTTAACATTTCTAGCCAGTAATAACTGCCATAGAGTTTTAAACACATTTTTTCAACCATTGTAACTATTGTTTTGGTATCTGAGAGACTGTGTAGTTGAGATAAGAACAAGAATAGTGAATGAGACAATGGTTGTATGAAATTTAGCCATTGGATGGTCAGTTCATAACATAGTATTGGTATATGCACCAAAAAGTGCTAAAGAATGAAAGGTTGATTGTATATGAAGTCTTTACTGGGAATGCTTGTGCAGTATCTGATGATTTTATAAAGAGTTTCCTATTCTGGCATTCTGTTGGAATAAGAAATACTGAAGGAGATATTATGTTTAACTTTTCTCCTATACACCTCAAACATTGTGAGACATCAAACCTGTGTAGCACGAAAACAAGGTGGTAAAATAATGATGGTGATGGTGTTCTAATTTTCAAAATTACATTTTTATGCAGAAAGTTATGGTATAGAAATCCTCACACAAGTTGAACTGAACAACGTTTATCAGCTAAGGACTTAAATATTACCTAAAATCAATAGTTTTACTTGCTTACACACATTACTTGTTATATGATGTCAGCTAGTTATAATGTAATAGCAAGCTATCTTATGCTGTTTAAGAAATGAATTTAAAACAGTTAACCTTTAAACTTTGGTTTTGCAGTTTTAAATCAGTTGAGCTTTACTGTTAGAAATTTATATAATTTATAACATTGACTATATTCATATGCAGTTATTAACAACTTATAAAATTTAATTTAGGCAATACAATAACAAAGTGTGAAAAAACACATGTATAAAATATATAGCTAATCCTATCTATAAAGTTACTTGTTATTTATATTGTAATTTTGTCTTTTCTTTAGTTGCACAACAAACAGAGATATGTATGTTTATTATTTTTATTTTTTTTTGTTGCTATTTTTAATCAATATTTCAACCGTTTCAAAAATAGAATGTATATTAGGTACCAACAATTTTTTAAGTTGCTTCAAGCTGGAGTAGATAAATTATATGAAAATATAATTTATCTACTCCTATTAGATTTAAATCAAATCAACACTGATAATAGTAAAATTTAATTTAAAAGCAGTCAAAATAATAATGTCTTTTTCTGTGTTCTTATTTGTAATTTTTACATTTTTTAGTGGAACAGCAAAGAGAAATGTGTATGCATTTATTTTTAATTATACTTTAGTTTTACTTAAATTTATTATAGATTACATCACTTATCAATGTTTAATATATTTTCTTTTAATAATTTATTTAGTAAGACGTGTGGCGCAGCTGGAGGAAAAGGCAGGTATTAAAAATTCAAATGATTTATATTGATATAATTAATATATTGCATAGTGACAAAGGAATGTATGTTTACGTTTACATTAATTTTCAAATTTCATTAAATGTTTTTAAATTTATCTTTTGATTATAACTAATTGTACCATTTAGCTACAATCACTAATGACAGAGTTGAGGCTTCTGGTAAGAATGCTTTATTGTAAAAACTTTAATGAAGTTTGTGGTGATTGTAGTATTTTTTGTATATATGTAAATTTATATATTTAATGTAATTGCTTAAGCTTTTGTAAATACATAAATAGATTCTAAAGATGTTTATTTTTTCCTAATCACCCCAAACTTTATTCAATGTTTTCTGTAAAATTAAATTTCACATTTAACTTTTTAGCTTCAACAACTGCTGCCTTAACAACAAACGGTAAAAGTATCTTACTATATTTAAATATATTTATATGTATATATATAAATATATTATAAATAGATATATTTAATATAATTGGTTAGGCTTTATATTTAGGCTATATACATAAATAGATTTTAAATGTTTGTTTTTTCGTGACCCCAAACTTTATTCAATGTTTTCTGTAAAATAAAATTTCACATTTAACTTTTTAGCTTCAACAACTGCTGCCCCAACAACAAGCGGTAAAAGTATCTTACTATATTTAATTATATTTATATGTATATATATGTATGTCTATATATATCTATATATATATATATATATATATATATATATATATATATATATATATATATATATATATATATATATATATATATATATATATATATACACATCTATATATATATATATATATATACATCTATATATATATATATATATATATATATATATATATATATATATATATATATATACACATCTATATATATATATATATATATATATATATATATATATATATATATATACACATCTATATATATATATATATATATATATATATATATATATATATATATATATATATATATATATATATATATATACACATCTATATATATATATATATATATATATATATATATATATATATACACACACACACACACTACTGTCCACAATTATTTGAATGACTTAAACTTTTTTTGAAAATGCATTTACTTTATTATTTTTTAATATTTATTTTAGCATTATTAGATAACATAATAAATATAAAAGTATTTTGATTAAAATGCTTTGATAAAAATTATAAAAAGTAATAATTCTAAAGGCAAAACTATATAAAAAAAATGGACCGTCGGTAAATGGAACCTTGAAGCAACGAGTCAAAGTTTTAAATCTTTGGTTACATGTGAAAGTTGTTTGTCCGGAGAAAGGTCGATGAATAATAAAACTTTGTCTTATCGACTGTGAAACCAGGTGAAAAGATTGGTAAGATGTGGGACTGTTTCGATTGGAATGCCATAGGTGACATGGTCAAAATAGAGGGAATAATGGCAGCAGTACACACTAAAAAAAAAGGTAGAAATTTCTACCTTAGGGTAGGATATGTGATATACCTTTAGTAAGGTATAATTTTATAGCTTTTGAGGTAGAAAATTATACAAAAATAGGGTCTAGAATAATAATTTGCCATGCAATTTTCTAGATTCAAGGTATAATTTTCTACCTTAGAAGGTAGAAAGTTATACCTTACTAAGGGTATATCATATATCCTACCCTAAGGTAGAAATTTCTCCTTTTTTTTTTTTAGAGTGTAGTTTATTTGAATATTTTAAAAAGAGATGCTGCACATTAGAAAGTTAGGTTAATGGGAAGCCATTCACTTTTTCAGAAAAAAATGACGCAAAGCTTAAATCCAAAACTTATTCCTTGAAATATTTTATAAATTTTTTTGACACCGTTAGAGAATAATCAAATATTGAATAGAATTGTTTCAATCACCAGATCTCTCCCCTATCAAACTCTTATGGGATAAATTAAAAGTATGTCAAAAACTAATGCCAAGTGATGCATATAAGGTGCATCAAAAAACTTAGTAGTAAGTGGCATAAAATTGACTTTGACAAATTGGATATGTCGTTAAGTAGAATATGTAGAGCGATTGATAAGTGTTACTCCCTAGGGTTAATTAAATAAACAAATAAATTATAAACTATTTTAATAGAAGTTTTTATTAATTTTGATCTTCACTTTAAAAATTGGAAGATAAAATATAACTTAGGTAGATTTTGCTTTATATATTAAAAAGTATGACCATTCGAATAATGGACAGAAGTGTATATATATAAATATAAATAGATATATTTAATATAATTGCTTAGGCTTTTGTATATACATAATTAGATTGTAAAGGTGTTTGTTTTTTTGTAATCACCCCAAACTTCATAAAATGTTTTCTGTTAAGTAAAATTTCACATTTAACTTTTTAGCTTCAACATCTGCTGCCTCAATAACAAACGGTAAAAGTATCTTAGTTTTTAGTATGGCACTTCATTTATACATTTTAACATATTTTATAATTATTGTTTTTCTGTTAGATACCTCCTATGAAGCGTATAGAGTTTATCGAAGACGGCACCGTGGGCCCACTTCCTATAGCTCATATAGGAAGTGGGCAGATAATGGAGGAGAGAATGACGCCTCCTTCAATTGGAGGGGAAATCGATGGGGAAGAGGTAGGGGTGGTTGGGGGGGAAATAAAAACTTTAATTTTATTTATAAATAGTTTTCTTTTTGTAACAAAAAATATATAACATCTTTGACTTTCTTTGCATTTATTTAAATTTCCCTTGTGTTTCAATTTGTACATTTCAATTGTTTCAATTTATACATTCACTAAAGTGTAAATACTAGTGATGTACCCTGTACAACAAAAATGAAGCTTGCAAAACCTAAAAATTCATCAGTTGACATAAATAGCATTTATTCACTATAATTTGAAGTTAAACGGTGTTGTCTTGTAATATTTCAGTTTATGATTTTTAAACATTTTAAAAGCCTTTGCCTCGAATATTGATATAAGGGCATTATATAGTTACTTAGTAATAGTAAACTTGAACATATATTAAGGTGGCAGCATAATGTGGCAAGGAAAAACTGTCGTTTTATTTTGGCATAGTTTGTGTTTAACGTCAAGTTAAACTTTAAAAGTTTGCATGTACCACAAAGTCGTCAATGTTCGGACACTAACTTAAGGTGGCTCATCTTTAAATCTAACTTTTTATTTGTAAAAATTAAAAACTTGATTTTTATTTTTTATATAAAGAAATCCTATTAAAACTTTTTTAAAAAAAAAAAAAAATTTGCAAATGATAATAAAATGATGCTGAGTCAGCATAATTTTCTGAAATCTTACCTTGGCTAAAACAATCCTATCTTGAGTAAAATATGCACTTAATATGCCATACTTTGCCAAATGGTAGCTAAATAGTTGCTCCACGGCTGGAACTAAAACTTTTTTCAAAGTTAAAAAATACTCAAATGGCAGCAATAACCGTGCATAAATTGAGTTACTGCCAGTGTCAGTCTAACAAACTACATTCAAACATACTTATACTTAAAATGTTATAATTCTAGTAGCAGCCCTAATAAATAATTTTTTTTTTTTTTTTTTTTTGTTCTTTCCTTGAATATTTAATATAGTTATACAATAAGATAGTTAAGATAAAAATCGTTATACAATAAAAGAAAATATATACAAAAAAGAAAAGAAAAGAACGCGGAGACTCGCAGAAGACCTTCAGGTCTTATCATCGAGAATCGCTCGTGAATATTAAGTACATTAAATTAACATGAAGTATAAAATCTAAACAATGTCGTAGTAAAAATTAGTAATAACTAGCGAGAACGTAAATTTCGTAATAATATATAAATAAAATTGGAATAAAGAAATTTTTGATACTCTTATATATAAATACAAATATATTTTAAAAAGTACTGTTTTCATAAACACATAAGTTGTGGATCAGATATAATATTTATATATTACCTAATGTAATAAACTTCATATTCATTTTTAAAAGAATTTAAAAATATAAAAAAATGTCTTCAAAAGACAAAACAATTTCTTTTAGTTTTTTCTTGAATGAAAGATAATTCCATTCATGGGAAAAATCAAAATTTTTTAAAACTATTTTGTTCCATAGAAAAGCTCCTCGATATGAAATACATGACTTTCCAAAATTAGTTAAAGATAAAGGTTGCCGAATTAGATTATCATTTCTTAAGTTATATTTATTTTTATCTTTTAAGGTATATAGATTATGAAAAGAAACTGGAGATTCGTTGATTTTACACTTGAGCATAAAACAAAGTGTATTAAAAATATTTAGCTGATAAATATTAAGAATTTTCATTTGAAATAATAATGGTTTGGCATGAGCAAATCGATCTTTATAATTGATAAGACAAGCAACATGCTTCTGCTGACGATAAAGAGGTAGCAGTTTAGATTTATTGGTATTACCCCAAGCAATATTTGCATAATTAATATGGCAATGGATTAAAGAGAAATATAATTGTGTTAAACTGTGTTTGTTTAAAGCATTTCTAGCCTTGTACATTACTCCTATATTTCGAGCAACTTTGTTGCACAATAAATCAATGTGATACTTTCAACTAAGGTTTTCATCAATATTTATTCCTAAAAAGTTAGTAGTTTGTTCTCTTTTTATTTGAACTTTGTCAATAAAAAGTAAGGGCATGACAGGAGGTAGTAGCTTTTTTTTTGAAGTTTGATGAAAAAGTATCCATTTAGTTTTTTCAACATTTAGTGACAGCTTATTCACTTTAAACCAGTCACAAACTTTTTTTAATTCAATATTCATATTTTGGAATAATGTTGTTATGTTGTTATGATTGTTAATGTTGTTATGTTCTTATTTGAAAGTTTTTTTTTTCGAAAACCTCCAGGAAACCAAGGCATTTTAAAAATGCAACTTAAAGAAGAAAATCCATCAGTATAATATAACATAGAAACATAAGCATATGTTTCAAGAATTTTTCTTGTAGTAATAGCAGCTTTAGGGCACCGCTGTCATATAAAACTACTAAAAGACTCGTTGCAGTTTTGTGTCATTCTGTGTAAACACTTTTTTAGCATTTCCGGGTTTGACATCTCTTAAAAAATAGGCTTAATTTCATAGATAATTGCTTTCATCAGAAGCATTTGCATTTAAAATTTCCCTTACTTCTGATATAGCAGATATTTTTGTACTCGGAGAACTAATTTCCTTATAAACTTTATGCAATTTTTTGTTTGTAAGATCATAACAGCAATTCGTAAGAAGTGGAGACATATTCATTACAGCAGTAAATGTAGACAGCTTCTCTACCAGGTCCAATTTCACAAAACGCCATACCAGTACATACAGCTATCTCATATGGTTTTGAACCGGACACTTTGATTTATACATGGAGATGAATAAAATTTACTTTCGAAGTTACAGTTTGGACATTGGATAATAATTCCAATAAAAAATCTCATACGTATAGATTCATAATGAAAAACATTAAGCTTGTTATAACGTTCATTGCATTTAGAATACTGTTCAAATATACTTTTAACAATTCTAAAGTTACAAATTGTTTTTTCATTATTTTTAACTTTCAGAATCACAGTTTGTTGCAGATTTAAATCATTTAAATATAAATTGCATTAAAAAGGCATGCGTACAAGAGTGGCCATTGAATTAAGGCACCTTACGGTTTTTGGATAAATTTATTATAACTTTAAATGTGCCTCTTAAATATGCAAAGTATAATATGTCAATGTCATTAAATGAATCAAATTAAAATTTCTCGCATATCTTTGTTTAAAAGACGTCATCAAAGCTTTTTGAAGTTCTTTTTTTAATGTAAATATTAAATAAATTAAATAAAATATGGGTAAAAAGGCAGATATGAGTGATTTTGTTAAAGGTCAAGTCATAACTTTGCATGGTAAGGGTACTCACAAGTTGTCATTAGTAAACGTCTAGAAATATCGAGATGCGCTGCACAAAACGTTATAAAATTGCGTGGGAGTTCTAGACGTCAAAATTGCCACGGCGTTCGCAAAACTATACCCTGTGATGATCGATACCTGAAAAGTATTGGGCAAGCCAGTCCTCACACTTCCTCTGTCCGAGTTACCCAATTGGCCACGGAAAGACGCATTAATATTAGTACCAGAAGTGTTCGCAGACGTCTGTCTACAGAATTTAAACTGCATGCGCGTAGACCGGCAAAGAAGCCGTTTCTCATCAAGAAGCAGCTTCAGGCACGTGTGAAATTCTGTCGTGATATGAAGGACAAAACTGCAGAGTGGTGGATTACTGTAATGCTTACTGACAAAAGTACTTTCCAGCAGCTTTGTGGTTCAGGGTAAAATTATGTTAATCGACCGGTAGGTGAAAGACTCAACCTTAAATACACTCTGAAGACCGTTAAACATCTGCCATCTGTTATGGTGTGGGGAGCTCAGCTAAGGGTAGATGCGGAATCCACATCTTTGGTAAGAGCGAAAAGGTCAATGCTGCAAAGTATATACAGGTTTTAGAGTCAAAGGTGAAGACACATATGAACATTTCTGAAACTACCATTTTTCAACAAGACTCAGCACAGTATCAAACTGCTAAATCAGTCAAGAAGTGGTTTCATGTCATTGATGTGCAACTTTTGAAGAACTGGCCCTCAAATTAGCCTGATTTGAACGCTATTGAAAATTGTTGAAACTTAATGAAAGCTAAAGTGTCAGCACATCGTCCAATATCAGAGGAACATTTAAAAGAAGCAGGTGTGCAGGTGAAGCAGGTGTCCAATATCAGAGGAACATTTAAAAGAAGCAGGTGTGGGTAAATGAAACTATCCCAGAGTACTGTGACAAGCTTGTAAAAAGTATGCTTTCTCGTATACAGGCTGTATTGAAAAATCGTGGTTACCCTACGAAATAATAAGATTTTTAGACTTTTTGTTGATGAATTTTAAAAGTAATGCTGCTAGATATTTTTTAGAACATTTTTTAATACTAATAGTACATATAATACGATTTCATGAAAGAGAAACTGGACTTGCTTAATTAAAACTGCAATTCTACTAGGTGTCTTAATTCAATGACCACTACTGTAATTCCAGCTTTTCTTTCAAAAAAAAAATTTTTTTTTTTCATCAGTTACGATTTTAAAAAACATTAATTATTATAACAGTATCATTGAATCTAGTCAAACAAACTTGCCACATTAAAACTTCTAATGCTTTTAAAGAAGATGAGGGAAGAATAAGCATAGCGTTGTAAATCTTTTAGGCTTTGGTGCTATGAAAATAATTTTATTTATCAATATATTCTATACTTTATTTATATATATATATAATAATGTAGTTATATATATATATATATATATATATATATATATATATATATATATATATATATATATATATATATAATAAGTTTTTGAATCGAGAGATAGTTTTACTTTTTGTGATTCCCTAAATTACGTGTCTGTAGGCCGTCTATTTTCTCTGCTGTAAGTAATGCTTCAGCAAAAAGAGAGTTCAGTCGATTAAAACTTATAAAACCGATAAAAAACAACAACAACAAAAACAGTTCGATGTCGATTTTATTGCAAGTGGAAATATTGTTTTCTTAACAAAAAATTATTTCACTGCCTACAATACTGATTTGCTAGAGAATTTTAGTTTTTTTAAAAGAGTTTTAAAAGTTAACTGGAATGATTTTGTTAGAGTTTACCTATAAGTGGTTTATACTTTTAGAAAAGCGATTATGCTTCAAATGAAAAAAAAAAAAAATTCCAAATTGAACAATTACATATTTCTTTAATTTAACTTGCATTGTTTAAATAGATTTTGCACAAGGTTAAACCAATTGTTTAAAAAGTTTCCAATTTTATTTGTTATTATTTATTTTTAATATTGTTTTTTTAAGTCATAGTTATAACTATTTTTCATATGCGAAGGCATTTTTGGTAGCAAAATCAAAACAACGAAAAGCGGTCTTTAAATCAACTATAATAGAAGTTCCACGCATAATTTTTTTATTAAAAAAATTAATTTTCAAATGACTTACAACTTCTCAAAGCAGTTCTTGTAAATATTATAGATGTTAATCGAGTTAAATATTTTCTAGTTATTAAGGTGCTCCAAGAAAACGGGGAAAATATACAATATTATTTGTTTTAAGTTCTTTGATTGACTTACTTCCAAAACAAAATAATAAGTTTAATTTACAGGGGTTTATGCACAATTTGTGATATGGAAATCTGTGACCTTTTTAAAAATCGGCTTATTTTCCTACGATTTTTGTTACGGAATGTCATTTATAAAAATCAGCTGCTATATTGGATGTTATAAATGGACATTTTCGGGTTTTCGAAACAAATTATTTCAGTAAAGGCCTTATCACATCTTAAATGTTTATTGGAAGGCATCAGCAAGAAAAAAAAACAACAATATTTTTAATATAAAACGAGTCACTTCTCGATCACAAATCACGGACTTATCCCTGACTATCTAATTAACAAATAATAAATCCCTGACTATTCCAAGTTTTCCCAGGCTTTAGCTGAAAGAAACCAATTTTTCAGGTCGTCCGTGTTCGCTACGAACCATGCACTTAGAATAAGGCTAATTCGAGTTTAATTTTTGTTCGAAAAAACAGGTCATAAATGTTTTATTTAATAAGATTACAACAAAAGATTACTTTGTATGAAATATTTCCTAATCAGATTGCATTCGCTATCTGATTGGGAAAAAAACACCCTAGTCGCTGTCACTAAGTGGACTGAATCTACTTTTTTGTTGTTATATTCCAAGTAAAAATTTTAACAAAAATTTGAAAATGTATTTATTCACAAATCATTAAAAATTCACGTTATAATTACTTATAAATGGCTTGCGCCATTTAGACAAAACACTGTGCGATGGTGCAATACGGGACTGTAATAACAGATTTATACGGAAAACTTGCAGTTCATGGCGCCAATAATGACTGTTAGCTAAAAATAAAAAGTAAAGTTTTTATTGCTGTACAGTATACATTGCGACATGATTATAGAGTTTATTACTAACACTCTAAGCCGATCATGCTGTCCACATAGCAGTCTCAAGTGCTTAATACACGGGAGGGAACGTTTATTATAATAATTGTTTTTAAGTTTCACTAAAATCGACCTCATTAAGACCACTATATTTATTAATTTTAACTTGCTAAAAACAAAGAAACTATCTAAACTACCTAAACCATAACTGATCAAAACTTGAAGGAAAAATGAACTTTATGTAGCATTACCAAATACATAATACTCCTTACCATAGTATACAGCTTGCATGTTATATCCCATTAAAAGTATTTTTACAAGTAGTTATAAAATTTAGAGGTAATTCAATCTAATATCCGTTGATATTGATCCGTTGAAACAAGAAAAAAAATAAAGACCTTGTTGGATTTGAAAAATAATTTCCACTCCTTTAATTAAAAGTAATATTTCAGCCCCCTCTTTCATTTTCATTTGACTATGTATTAAGCATTGGAGAGTAATGATTTAAATATAGAAAAAACATAACTTACTACAAAAAAAGGTAAGGTATATGCATTTGTAACAACAGTTAGAAGGCTGGTATCATGACCAAGCTAAATGCATTTCTGATAACAATAACTGGATTGCTGGTATCATGACCAAGCTATATGCATTTCCGATAACAATAACTGGATTGCTGGTATCATGACCAAGCTATATGCATTTCCAATAACAAAAATTGGATTGCTGGTATCATCACCAAGCTATATGCATTTCCAGTAACAACAATTGGATTGCTGGTATCATGACCCAGCTATATGCATTTCCAATAACAAAAATTGGATTGCTGGTATCATCACCAAGCTATATGCATTTCCAATAACAACAATCGGATTGCTGGTATCATTACCAAGCTATATGCATTTCCAATAACAATCGGATTGCTGGTATTATCACCAAGCTACATGCATTTCCAATAACAAGTGCCATTATTTCCAAGCTTTATGCGTTATAGTAACAGCAACTGAAATGCCACTATTGCATCAAATTTCATTTCAGCGATAAAGAAGAAACATAGAATATTAAAACATACTGTATTTTGCAAAACTTAATTAGTTAAAATGTAAAATTTTTTATAAATAAAAAATCTACTGTGTAGCTGCATATAAAATTGAGATTTTGAAAATATAACCTGCAACAATGAAAATGTACATAAAAAAACATAGCTCCATACCTATGACCATACTTTTACACAATATAATAACCTTTGAAACAATAACCAACTACAATTTCAACAGTCTAATATATCGGGTTACCTTAACAACTTGTGACATTTATTAACAGATCAAACCTCAGTTTTATGTTGTGTGCATCTGGCAATTATGACAGTTCCATATTGCATCTTCCTTTTCGTAAGCACACAGTGGAATTTTTTGACATTCACGATGAAACCATTTTTTACAAGTACAGCATTGAGCCATTTGCCTGCAAAAACAAATCCATTAGAGGTTATAAATAATGGAACAATAGATTATAGTTATAACTTTATATGTATACTGATAAAAATTTATAGTGAAACGATCACTAAGAACATTACCATGCAAACTAAATATGGTCACCCTACCCATGTTAAAATTAGATACAATACAAAGAATTTCTTAATCCATCGATTTTATTTCAAAGTTTTCCTTCTTCAAGCAAGACTTACTTTGCAACAACTAAGGAGCCTTGCCAACCCTAAGTTTAACATCATGTCTAAATCATTATTTAAAAAAATGATAGCATACCTGTTAAAAATGTGTTCATCTTCAACGATCCAAAACATGCGACATGAACAATGCAGAGGAATATGGAAGTTTTTTCCTACACATCTTCTAAACATAGAAGGAGTAACGGCAGTTGGGAAGACATCTAACTGGTTGTTTAGTATACAGTTAAGAAGATGAATCCTCATCTTACTTTGCTCAAACATAAGAGTACTTGGCGGTATTTTATTTGCTTCAAGTACTTGTCGAGCCCATGCAATTGCATATAGACCACAATCTACACCATTTGTTTGCTGTTGAATTGGTAAAACTTTAATAACAATTTTTTTTTTTGGACAGCGTAAGATAGAGCATATTTGCCTTTTTGTCGCAATACTTATTGAACCATGAAAAAGACTGTCAAAAATATATATCTCCCCAGGCTTGCAATCGTATGTTGTAACGCAAATCCAATGTAGATTTCCATCATGAAGAATTTGTACAAATGGATCACTCGGACATATATCAAACGACATAACTTTTCCTTTGATCGGATCTTGCAAACCAATAGAAATGTTAAACTGATTTGACATCAATTGTTGAAAAAAGTGAATGACATTATCATTTAGCATTTTTCCTTTTTCTATGTCATTCCTTTCTAAATCTCCAATTAATGAGCATTTCAGATGATGAATATCCCTATTAAGTTGGAAATTATCATTAACAAAGTTGGCTTCATCAAACTCCTGACGAATATCAGATCTTACTTCTACTTTGCATACACTACTTTCAATTTTTATCGATTCATTGGGTACTGTAAACATTTCACAATTTTCTTCAAGTACATGATTAGTACAAATCTCGGTCACACAAGGTTCATTTTTTACTTTAGATATCACGTCAATATTCGAAGCTGCCTTGATCATGTCAAACTTTACACCAACTCTTTTGGGGATTTTCCTTTTGTGTCGAACAGGAAGATTAACAAGATGTGGTAAATTTGTATCCGACTTGATCCAAGTTTCTGGTTTTTTATCCGGAAGCAGGATAACCCCTTGCTCTCTCTTAAGAGTTTCTGCAAAGGTTATTTTAACTTTATAAAGCTCATCAAACAAATTGTCTATTGCTATTTGAGAGTCACATAAATGCGTCATATTTATTATTGCATTTAGGAGCTCACGACATGCTGCTGGTGTATGTCTTGCCTGTGGAAGACCATGTGCTAAATTTTGATCAGGATTGGAGACTTTCATATCTATAGAACAAAAACCGTGTAATGACTGATTATGTTCAGGTGGCACAGATTGATCCAATGGTTTTTCATCTACAAGACTATTCATACCTACTGATGTATTGTTTGAAGCCAAATCTAAAAAATTCTTTGCATCTTGCAATGGATCAAGCACGAAATATGCTGAATCTCCATAGGAGGGATCAAAATCAGACCACGACAGATTTTCTTTAATAAAAATGGCAAAAAAATGCTTACATGGATATGCACTATATAACCAAGCAGAACACGAACAACTTGGCAAGTGTTTTGCATCACCAAGATAACATTGGTAGGTTTCTCTACTATTACTCTGGAATGAAGCAACATTGTATAATCTGTTTGTTACTGCAGTAACTCTGACCAAATCCATGCTTATTACTTTGTCTATCATTTTCATGCAATGTTTTACTAAAGGTTGTGGACGATTTGTCAAATATACTGGAATGTTATCCTTATATTTTCTGTAAGATGAATGTGCTCTCCTATTTTTATCAGCATAGCTAAAGGAAAGAAAAATGTCTTGCTGGACAAGATTCAACTAATTCAATTTAACAATACAGTAATGGTAACAATTATAATATTTTTGAAAGTTTTACATACAGTGGTGGCCAAATTATTAGACTGTAAATATTACCAAATGTAATTTTTGATGCATTTGTGCAATTTATTCATAAATAATGCAGCGTTTTTACTTCAAAAATTTTTTCATTACAAAAAATAAGAAAAGTTTAGAAAAGCAACATTATAGTAAAAAAGCACAAAATTGATCAGTTTTAGTATAAAAAGAATTTAATAGAATGCAAAATTTGGGTTTGATATTCAAATGTTGAAATGACTCGAAATTCGCATTAATAAGACAAAGTAAAAATTGCAATAAAAATGCAAAAAGTACCAATGGAAAATGAAATAAATTACAATGGCAATGAAAGTTTGAATAGTTGAAACGTGTCAGTTAATGTTTTGTATGGATTCCCTTATTTTTAAACAGTGCTTGAACGCATCCCACAAATAAATTTTGGGATTTTTTTCAGCTTCATTTCTCCTACTCTTCTTTTGACAATCTCCCACAGGTTTTCAATAGGGTTCATGTCAGGTGAATTACCTGGCCAATGCGGAAGCTTAATGTGGTTGTCAACTAAGGTGCTCCATCTTGCATAAGAGTGAACGATCATAGTCAACATTATTTGCCAAGTTAAGGTAGCAGTCGTAAAATGCTTTATTAACTAAACATGTTCATTGTTAGAACATAAAAATTGACCATAATGCAATGTCTGGCACTTCTTAATTAATGCACATTTTCCTTTTATATCAGCTCATAAACACTAAACAATTAAGAAAATACTGATCTCTAACAGATAGCAGATTACCAAATTTTAATTGTCAATTTGCAGTTAAAATTTCCAATAAAATGATATTTGAGCAAAAATAAATAAATTGCACTTATAATCACTTAGGCAACATTGGGCTATACATGAAGTAACTATATATAAATTAATTTAAATAACTTATTTGTTACAAAGTAGGTACATTTCAAAATAATCCTGGTAATTAATAATCTAATATTTTGGCCACCACTGCAGAAAAGAAATTACTACCATTTTTATTTGTAATGAAATCAGCAGTACTATTATATAAGTGGTTGTAGCATAAATAACATAAAAATAACTAACTTTTCATAATTGTAAGGAAGAAATTCCTCTATACAAATGCTAAGCATAGATGTCAGAGAAGAATTTTTTCTTTTCTCCAAAAAACTGTATTTCAAAGATTGGTTTAGTCGTTCAGTACCATTGTTAGTATTAATATTTTGCAATAAACGATGTCGTCGAAAAGCAAACACCCATCTCTAAAACAAAAGATTAACGCTACAAGCAATGGAAACAAAATTGCAATAAAATAAGGAATAATAAAAGAAGTATTATATAATATTAATATGAAAAGTAGTATTTAATCTTTCCTAAAGACTCTTACTAAAGAACAGATAGAAACAAAAACGTTTTTATTTTTGTAAGATATATACTAACCTTTTGGTTACATAACCAAGTACTATTTAAATATTCTGCTAGTTTTGGGTTGCTTTTCCACTCTTCTGAATCTTTTAATGTGTCAATAGCATTTTGGCAAATTTCCTCAGTAGTTGCATGAGCGATTTTATGCAGTTTTAACTTAACTGCATCTTTAACAATACAACATCCATTAGCAGTTTTAGAAAGCCACCTCTCCCAAGCTTGCTCTCGATGAAAGTCACAAATTAAAACATTACACCCTAAATAAAAACAGTTGGATTTAGTTTATACAATGATTAAGATAACACTAAAAAAAATCAACAAAACAAGATTATTAAGCAACAATCCTCACCTGGAAACACTGCTTCCAGTGACCTTATTTCTTCATTTGAGTAATCAGTTAAACAAAACTTTGGTTGAAACGTAGGGTTCCATTTTTTAATGCACAATAATGCTTCTGTGATAGCAGATGTGGTTTCATTTTCACACACAAAAATAGCAACAACCTGATAATCAATGTTTGTTTTAACAACCAGAAAAAAAAGGGGTAGAGCATACCTTGTTGTGCGATATGTTGCATCAAGAAAAATAAGCTCAGTTCCGTATCGCAAAAGTAATCTTTTTTGCCACATATCTTGATAGATAAACAACAATGAATCCTTAAGTTCAGGATCATTACCATCAACAATGTTTACACCTTTTGGTCTAAACTTTATCATTGCTTTTTGAAAGGTTCTTTGCCATTCATTTATTTTATCATGCAAACATTCTTGATCTATCAAAGATCTGCGAAGCTTTATCCTTGCATTGAGCATATGATTTCGAATGGTCTTATCTATTGGAAAGAAACGCTTGTTTGTGCTTTGTAGATTATTATTGGGAGTAAATTCTGCTTGAACAAAAAACTCAAGATGCCGTCTCATTTCCGATACAGTGTTAACACCTTTTTTAACTAGCTCAGAAATTTTTACAATGAGATCCTCAGAAATGGGCTGACTGAGACCTGCATTCTAAAATAATAACACTATCAATGTCATTGAAAATTTTAAAAAACAAAGCAACAAAGTAAAAACAACTCTAAATAAACAAAATATAACAGGAAAATATTTACTTACATCACCAACTACATGGTTCTTATGAACAGAAATATCAGGCAATGTTAAGATATACTTTCTGCGCTTAAGTAAAATTTCAGGGTTAGCTAAGGCTACACGAAGTTTTTTTGATGTTTCTTTTCTTAACCGTACTGAATTTTTTTGAAGCTGTAAAAATGCGATATAAGTTGTTATAACAAAAATGGAAATATTTTTAATTATGATATTAGGAAAATATTGTTAAAACTGTTCAATTGTTATACAAGGGTCCTGCAAATCGGTATTTTTAATTTCAAATCGAATCTTGAATCCAAGCAGATCTTAATTTGCAAATCGAATCATGAAGTGAATTAGCAATATGAGAAAAAATAAGTTTAACAATTTTTCATAATATACATTTATGAATTAAATAAATTTTTATTATTTAAATAAACTAAATAAAAAAAACACACAAACAAAAATGATTCTAAAAACATTTTTTTAATTTAAATCACAAATCAAAGCAACACTTGATTTGCTGAGTCCTAATAATATATAAACAGACACACCTATAAATACCAATAGCATAACAATACCAATATTACTCCAATACAACACCTTAAACTCTGGAAATTCAACAATTTCTTTTATATAAACCATAGCAGGACAATCAAATTTTTTGGTATCCTGAAGAATGACTCTATTTTTTTGGCAATAGTGATCTGTACTCTACACATTACAATATGTTAAATAAGGTACAAATATAAATGTTCAAAATGTAATAACAAATCCCCCTCCCCCTTTCCTTAAAAAAAAAATTATATAGTAATAGTAATTATAACATTTATTACAGAAAAAAAAAATGAAATTATGCTTTAAAGTTAATTTTACAAAAACTTTATTAAACTTACAGCTTGTTCATTTTTATTTTTCTTGTACTGAGCTTTTTTTTTAAGATTTCTGTCTTTTCCATGCTGACAGTCACGTTTCGCCAGTGTTGACACAATGAATGGTACTCCTGTGTAGGCCAAATCTTTGTCCTCATAAAATAACTTATGCTCTTTCTTAAACAACTCTATATAAAAGAAATTACACTTCTCAAAGTAATTACTACGTTTCAGGAAGAAAACATAAGAAATGGAGTTGAACAATTGCTACAGTTAGACAAAATTTTAACTACAGCTTATTTAATCAATTTTCCAACCTTCAAAGGTCTTTTCCATGTTACCTGTACAAGTAACGACATAATGTACTGTGTGCAACATTTCGTGTTCTGTGATTTTCGCACAAACATCTGCATATGTGTCAAGAACGTGCTTGACAACAGGTACTGTAGATTCAACTGATAACATTGTTTCTGTAATAAGCAAAATTAAATTTAATAATCCTAAAAGTAATGCTTTTTAGCAAATGAGTAGGAATTGCATAAGATAATAAAAAACCTTACCCACTGAATGTTCAAAATCAAGGGAGCAATTATCTTCGTTCATTTTACAATCAAGAGTTAATACTTGAAAAATATACTAAATAAAATAAATTTAATAATAAGTAATAGTAATATAGTAATAGTAAAAAGTAATAATAAATTTAATAATTTAATCAAAGTAATATCATAAATAGCACAATTTGAAAACAAAAATGTTCTTTTGAACGACATTAAAGGTTAGTGCTAGATAATGTCGTTCAAAAGTGCAATTCCGATTTTACTAAATTGACAGCTAGAGTTAAAAAGTAATAATACTGCTTATTAATATTAATAAATAATATCATTTTTTAGTATTAATATTTTAATGATTAGTAATATGTAAGATAGTACTGTTTTATCGAATTTTCTAACAAAAACAAACAAGCTCTTAAAGCTAAACCCAGCCTTACTAATACTTGCAAAATATACTAAATAAACTAAACTTAACTGTTAAAGAAAATAAACATAAAGAAAAGTAATATCATAAATAGTACAATTTTAAAACAAAAATGTTCTTTTGAACGACATTAAATGGCGCACTAAACATTGGCGCACGTGAATTTAAATTTTAATATCGTTTTAAAATTACATGGAAATTACGTATGCGTAAACATTTTTTCAGGTCTGCGATTTTAGTAAAATCGGAAATGTACTTTTGAACGACATTATCTAGCACTAACCGTAATTGTAAACTATCTAAACATAATAACAACACGATGAATATTTTATCTGATTATTTTAGCGGATTTCTACGGAAAGACCCGACGCATTAAATAATTTTTATATGACAAATTTTAAGAAATTAAAATACCCTTTAAATTTTTCCATCATTGTGTTTATAGCCTATATTGTTATTATTGTAATCGTTAGTAATATTATTAATAATTCATTAATATATTTGTATTTCTTATTATATATTATTATTAGTAGTAGTATCGACCTTTTTGTTAATAAACGTCCTCACTATTCCAAAACGAGGCTTAGATCGCACCGCTTGTCAACAAACAAAATGGCAAGTAGTTTGCCAGATGATTTCTACCATTGAAGCTATAATAACGAATTTGGAGAATGAAAGGCTTCTGTCATTAAATTCTCTCATTTTCCTCAAAGATAATAATGAAATTTCTGGTGCTTCTTGATAAAGCTTTAAAAATGGTTTAGAGTTTTAATGGTACTAAAAAATGGTATGGATAGTTCTAATGTTACAACTATCTTATTCATGCTTCTCTTATTTTAAATCGCAGGGCATTTTAAGAGCTGCTGGAGGTACTAGATGGATAATAAGGAAAAGTGCGAAACCATAACTTCATTGCTGGAATAATTTCAAAGCAAGTGAAAAAGAAAAAAACCACCTCAGCATAGACAATCTGCCCTTAAAAAAATTGTTTTTCAAAATTTTAAATTATTGCTATAACAAACTTGCGCTAGATAACCCGCAGATTCTTAATGAAACGAGTTGATTTCGTTCGATACAAATATAGATATTTTTGCTAAATAAAATAAACAATTTCTAATTCTTTAACTAAAAGACTCTTGAACTAAGTATTCCGACAACGCAGTTCTAAACGACCCTTGCCTATTAATGCTAGTATTTTGTTTAAGGATCTTGCAATATTTGTATAAGTTAAAAATCTTGTACATTCTTGTTTGACTATATTTATCATTTTTTAATTTTATTACCATGTTTTTTGAGCAAAAAAAATTTTAAAACCTTGCTATAACAATCACGTTTTTTTTAGTTAATTTTAGTGTAATTTTAAAAAAACTTTGAGAAATTAAGTTAAACTCAGTTATATATACATGCAATGACCTATGCAATGTCTCCTAGCTACTAGGTAACTAAAACCAAATAATTACCGTGTTAAACCGACCGTAACCACATATAAAAAACTTAAGGTCAACTTAGCAAATAGCAGCAAAATTAAATTTTACTACTTGCCTGTAGAACGTTGGTAATACATCGTCAGTAAAACTGCAAAACCTCGTAATTGATTTTTTGATTAATGTTTAGGAGAGAGTTAAAACTAAATAAATTAAAAAGTTTATTCTTACATTTAATAATCTTTTGCGGTTAATTGATAAATTGTGTCTCTAAATGGTATCAAATATTTTGAAGAAAATATAATCACTAGGGGCTGGGGTAAACGTGTTTTTGTAATTTATGTTTTGACAGCTTTTAGGAGAAAAAGGTTTTTCTACCAAAAGGTGACTAAGTTTTGTAGACTATATTTTGGACGTTTCATCAATTTAATTTGCTCAGCCTGCTAAATAATTTAGTGTTATAGCTCTAATTTTATTTACCGTATCAGTTTCAGAATTGGACAAGTGTTGTGTCGAGAGCTCACTATGTTCCTGGTTTTCAGTTGAGCCAAAAACTCAATTGACTCCAAGTTGATTAAATCAGACATGTCTATATCCCCAAATGTCACATTCATTAAATACGAATTTGTAGTAATGTTGTCGTTGACAGCATCCATATCATAGTATACACTAGCACTTGGTTCACCAACCACACAAGAGTCTAATGTTCGATCCTTTTTATTTCCAGAGTCAGTTTCACTGACGGGTTGATTGATTTGATTAGTTGATTGATTTTTTCCGAATTCGCCAAACACATCATTTTGTAACCACGTGAATGTTCCAACAATAACAATACATGAAATAAAAGACTTTAAGAAAATAAATAAAATATAATAAAATAAATAAAATATTTATCCATAAATAACTACAAGAAAATAAATTTACAGTATAGAAAATATTTACACTAACATCAAGTGATTATCAGATTTTTTTCAATAATAAAGTTAATATATGATTTTACTTTAAAGCATGCCTTTTTACAAAAGTAAAATCATATATTAACTTTATTATTGAACTAACAATTAATTCTAAGAAGTAATTAAATATTTATATGTATAGAATATAAATTTGAAGTTTTGCGTAAATATTAAATCAATGAAAGCAAAATTCAATTAGTCCTTAAAAAAAATTGCGTACCCTTTTCAATCTTTACTGGGCAAGATATCAATTTTTCTCGTGTAACCGTTTCGGTGACATGATCTTCTAAAAAGACGACAAAGACAATAAAAATATTATTTCGTAGGGTAACCTTGCCCCAATAATCAAATAAATGTTTGATTCGAACTTTAACTTCAATTATAAATAAATTATAACAACTAAAATACCCTTGACTTTTTTTAACGCTTCTTGCGCTTTCTCATCCGCAGTTTGGTCTACAATTCAAATAGAAGGAACTAATTTCATTAAAACCGTTACATCAAAAGAGTAAAAATAATTCCCTGAATAGTTATACCTTTTAATAAAGTGTTTTCAATAAATGCTTCTTTATTTGGCAAAGCATATGCCACTGGCCACTTTGAAATGAGATCGGTACAGCTCTAAGGAAATATTTATTACCCACTTTTGATTCCGTAAAGGGCCCAGCAAAATCGATCCCTACAATCTCCCATACTCGAGATGTCTTAATTAAAAGAATAAATTTGCACTTGTAAAATTTTTTTGTGACACTTTGGCATAAAAAAAAGTATATTATACCTTTATTGAAAATAATGGTTCAACTGACGAAAGATATATATATATATATATATATATATATATATATATATTTATATATACATATATATATATATATATATATATAATATATATATATATATATATATATATATATATATATATATTTATATATACATATATATATATATATATACATATATATATATATATATATATATATATATAAATATATATTTATATATATATATATATATATATATATACATATATATATATATATACATATATATATATATAAATATATATATATATATATATATATATATATATATATATATATATATATATATATACATATATATATATATATATATATATATATTCACACACGTTTAAAAAAGCAATTTTTTGTTGCTAATAACCTCCCCTTTTTTAATATTACTTCTCATATTGGGCCAATAGTACTTTTCGGTTATTTTTAAGTTTCTCCGCTGTGCCCTCCCAAAGGGGTGTCATGCTCAGCCGTAAAAATTTTGGTTCGTTCATCGGTATTAAATATAACTTCCGCAAGAAAAGGGATGCCACATACCTTTACACTACGTTTCAGCAGACCATCTTTAAAAAAATTGTTATTTAATGTTTTTAACAAAAGTATTATTTTTATTTTAATTATTATACTTTACGATATTATCAAAGAGTATCTTTTATAACGTAGCTTTTTGACAATTTCCTAAGACTGCGCTTTTCATTGGTCCCAAACTCTTTAGGATAGTTCCTATCTGTAATATCGTTTGAAACGTGATTTTAATAAATGATGTTTTTTTCCTATTTCCTATTATTTTGAACTACAGCTCTTGACCTTAAAATCTCTTGAAACTTTTTTCAACTGCGACTGATAGATGTTTCATTGTAACCCTTTTTAAATAATTTACAAACTATCTGATAACTGCCTTTCAATTGCTTTAATTATAAATGCGTAACATCCAAACGACTATTAACTAAATTTTTAATGACTTTATGACAACTACCCTAACGTATTTAGTTTACTGGTTTGGCATCCAATTTTATTATCGAAAATACGGTGATGAGCTCCAAAAAACCTTTTTTCGTTTTCTTAATTTGCATGGGCAAAGTGAAAATTTCATAGGTTAGCCAAGCTCATACAGATTTATATTTGCAAGTGAATCCAGCGATCCGAGGGTGCATACTTTGATGCGTCAAATTGATAAAAATGTTTAAACACATTGTAATCTACTTTAGCATATTTATATGCGCAATTGCTCACTTTTTTTGCTTGCCTAACTTAAGTGAGCGATTTTAGAAAACGATGAGGGAAAACGAAGAATAATGAATGAAAAGATTGCTGACCCATACCAAACCCTCAGTCGATGTAGCAGCACTCCACTGCGAGTCAGGCTATTTGTCAGTCGATGTATGTATTGAAGCCCCCGGCAGCAGGCTATTTGACATTAGGTGAATATGACATCGTCATGCTCACCTAAC